ACAAAACCCACTAGATGTCCGAATATAACAGATCACCAAGTCTCGCGAGGGAAGGGGCGGGGCTACATCTCTTCATTTTCTGTTTTGCAACGAAATAATGGAACATGAAATTCTTACGTCAATTTGGACACATTTTCTATAATAATGTGCATGTTTTTATCTAAGTCCATTAACATGCCTTTGTTAACAACTATGATGTTTTGCACAATACTCCCTATCTCCGTCTTGCCCCCCCCCCCCCTCTCTTTCTTTATGTCTGTCTCTGTCCATCTCTCTCTTTCTTTCTGTCTCTCTTTCATTTAGTTACCCAACCAGTGCCAACAGACATGATATTGTATTTGTCTTGTCATGCTATTGTTAGTTCATTCTCTATCCATTTTACGACCAAAGTCCCAAGCGGAGTGCATGCATGGAAAAGGCCAATGACACTCTAAACTCCCACATTACACGGCAACTGGCAACCTTTCATGTTTATTCTACTGTAATTAAACGAAAAAAAAGTAAATCCATTAACTTGTCGTATTCGATGCATTGACCTTGAAATTGTCTTTGTGTTACTTGTTCATGGGCCATACGAACTACCTATAAAAAAACAAGCCAGGCATATACATGTATGCCTGTGATAATCGTTTTTGGTGAAACTTCGAGACTGGCCCTACGCTGTATATACCGACTTTAAAATGCGTAAACAACGAAACGCTATGCATGACTGTAATGTGATTTTTGTAATCATAAATGTATTGGTTCGAATATTTGTGACACTTTTGTCTCACTATTATCGAATTTGTATTGTTAATTCACGTGCCCTAGTTACGACTGTGCCTGGGAATGATTGATCGAGAGACTTTTTAAATTAAACTTTCCTACGAATCGTAAATCAACACGGAAAAAATAGTTGAAATGGCTGGGACATCCTACGATAACAAACACAAATTCTACCGAACAAAGTGCGATATTGTACATGACGTCATTAGGTGACGTGCAAGAATGTGAAGTCCATTTATGGGGGCGGGGTCATAAAATAATATGAACGAGGAAAAAATATTTGAATTCAAGCTATTTGACAATTGACATCAACGGTAAATGTGATCATTAGCAAAACATACATGTACATGTACATTGAATATCGCAAACGGTAATAATGATAATGTACACACCTTCAACTTCGAACAAATTAAAGCCTACATTTGAATTGAAACATACAAATACACAATATAGAATTACGTCATTATTAGGTAATGCGTACCGTGAGGAATGATCTATGGAGAGGGCAATGCCGTTCATATGCCAGTATACAGTAACACATTCTGAGAAGCACATAAATTAAGCAAATGTGTCTATTTATTGATTAATTAAAACAAGAAGGCCGCATTACAACGGACACCAGTCTATCTGCTAAAACCACAATCATTATCTTTTGTTAGTCCCACATTGGCCCTTTGGCGTTGCCCGAACATGACAACGCATAAGTACCCGCGGTGGACTTGGGGTCAATTCTTGATGACCGCGAAGGTCGTTTATTATCTTCGGAGAGCAAACTGTTTACAGCGTTGCCATGGTTATGTGTACATCTCGGATCACGACCCCAATTCGGTTGGGACGCGAAGATAACCGAAATTTGATCGGGACATGACAAACATCCTTGTCAGCTGGAATAATTCAGGGGGACACCGGGGGACATCTCGAATTATAACATGCTATTCCCAGCATTGCCTAGAGATGTCGAATTCTATTGAAGCATTTCAGAAGTCTCAAAATCAGTCATTTTCAAACAAAATCAGTACATAATTTTCTTTAATTTGCTGCGAATACGCTATTTTGCATTTGAAAACACAGTCTGGTAACACTGGTATATTATGTTCTTTCCTCCTTTTCATGAAGTGATTATGGTAATATGACTTATTCTCGAGAGATAAAGTTTACATGTATATCTTTCTTAGAACTTTATTTATACAGTTGAAGAGTCGTTAAGAAAACAAAAAGGGACGATTTTTATCTTTATGCATAAATTATGACGCAGGTGGAAGCGTTCATACCGCCGATCGAAAACAAATATCCCTTCTTTCTTTTTTTAATCCTCGAATATTCACCAAGGAAATTACGATTTGAATATCACAATATATATAACGTCACGACAAAAAAATGATCTGTAAGATGTACTACATAAACGTCAAAGATTATACCGTCGACAAAACGGCTGTAAAGTGATATCTCGGTTCTGGGAATATAGTTTCCACGTGAGGAAAATTGAGTTTGAGTGAAATGGTGTGGAAAGGAGACAGATGGAGCAGATAGAACATGACAGCAGGAGCATGTGTGCAGAAGTCTCAAGCTTTGAATATACCCCCCCCCCCCCCTTCCCCTTTCTTTCTCTCTTTACCGTTTTAATATTTGTCTCTCTATCAGCATCACTCACAGTTCTTTGGTTACCCAAAAATGTCCTCAGACCGAAATCATCACATCTCCAAAGTCTACAAGCGTAAAATATACGAGATCCGCACAAAATATATACATTATCCATTGCTATTTTGATGATACATTGTGTAAGTCAATATGTATTCGGTCGACCTATCCATTCCACATTGCCCACATTATTTTATGCAGTAATAATTTTTTCCTTCAAACAAATGAACGAAAGCTATATAAATCAGAGAAAGCTAAATAATGTAAAACTTGGTACAGTCAGGGCAATTCTGTTCAAAGTCACATTCGTCTATATTTGCTGACAAATGATATTCTCGTTTATGGTTTATCACATTTCAGTTGATAACATAACATAGACGGCCTGGCACTTGCTACATACACATTATACATTCTGAACGTGTGTAATTGAATAATAACCAACTTGAAGTAGGTGCGAAAAGGTTTCGAGGGTTAAGATTAAGAAGTTGGATGTTTGAACAAGAACTGATAATTAAGAACAAGATAACTACGACAATGCCCGATGGTACCTCCCAATGTAAAACAAGATTGATTCCTAATCGTAACTATTTGATTAATTTTAAGTGGGCACATAGATCGGAAAAAATTCCAGAGGACCGTTTTCTTCTTTGTCTTCTTCTTCTTCTTCTTCTTCTTCTTCTTCTTCTTCTTCTTCTTCTGCTCCTTCTTCTTGCTGTTCTTCTTGTTGTTCTTCTTGTTGTTCTTCTTGTTGTTCTTCTTCTTGCTCTTCTTCTTCTTCTTCTTCTTCTTCTTCTTCTTGGTCTTGTTATTCTTGTTCTTTTTCTTGTTATTTTTGTTCTTGTTCTTCTTGTTTTTCTTCTTGTTCTTCTTCTTGTTCTTCTCCTTCTTCTTGTTCTTCTTCTTCTTCTTTTTCTTTTTCTTTTCATTTGTATTATTATTAATATTATTATCAATTATTATCAGTATTATTATTAGTAGTATTGGTATCGGTATCATTAATAGCCCGGACGTTTTGCACAATTAATTAAGTGTCCACTGTATACATAAATAATAGAATAGTTATAAACAATCAATTGCGCTTGGTTTTGTCAATGCCCTTGGTGGTTAGTTGAGATAATTGTGGTTGTGTTCGAGAGAAACAGTTCAATATTGATTGGTGCATTTTTCCGTGCAAAATCAATTTAATAATTATATCAATTTGGGTTTTCTGTTGTAGACAGGAAACTTAGTTAGTGCATTCTTACATCAATGTTTGACTTTGAACACATTTGTTTTGACAATCCTTGCAGAAATGTGTCTTAAAGCCCCAATGCATGCACTACTAAAATGACTGAGCGGTACCCGTTGATCCCCAACGATGCCCTTATGTTAATTGAGAGCTGACTTGATGAGATACAATGTAACCACCTGCCAGTGACCTAGCGGGGAGGTCTAATCCCACCATGCCAAACTAGTGCAGAGGGGCTTTAAATGACATACTCTTTGACTCTTTTACATTATGCTACAATTAAGTGAAACTTTGCCATCAGATTGTGGGGAGCTTGCACCATGGACCTAATACAAAAGAACAATTCAAACGGAGTTTTAAGAGATATCTATATTCTTAAAACATTACAAATTCATTGAACTCATACTGCTTGGGTCATGGATTGTGTGATATATAAATTACGACTATGATTTTGAGGGAACCTTCAACCTTCACAAGCACATTACAGTAAAGCCATAACAATTTTTCTTTCAAAGTTCTGTAAATAAATTTCTTTAAGACACTTTTTCCAGAATTGTTTTGCACCTCTCCCGCAACCCTCATGAATTTAACGGGACCATTACTGTATTTTTGTCAATTTACAGTACACTCATTTTCATTAAACAGAAACAAAACATAATTCAGAAGCAAAGGTTTATAAGATGAATAATACTCATGTTTTGTAGAAACACACAGATCTGGTGTTTGTTATGGTGCTTGGTGAAATTACATTTAGCCGAGGGCAATGACACTTTAAATTAATTTTAAGTCCAAGAAAATGAAATACGACCCTCTCAACCCCCCCCCCCCCCCCTCTCTCTCTCTCTCTCTCTAAACAAAATGCCGAATCTCATTTGACGGGATGGTTCAAAGAAACCCCAAATGACATGTAGCTAGGTCTGAAGTTCAAGCGTTTTTACAACATGTCATGTCGATCATTATGTTTCAATGTTAATAAGAAAGGATCGATTTGTTTAAATATTGCTTGTCTGTGTCGTCTTTTTTTTTTAAAAAGGCCGAAAAAATGAAATACATTCTGAGAGTAAAAAGGTTCTTTTAGGTACACGTATTTTGCTCATATATATGTACTTAGTTTAGTGTATAAACAAAATGAATAATATAGCATAATTATAAAGGTTTTTTTTCCATTTTGTCAATAGAGTCCTATATTATTATTTTTATAAACAATAAACGTATTAGCTGTTCGTTATGAATTTCACATGATTTGACACCGATCTATCTATACCACCTGTTGTTTCGTGCGCGTTTTTATTTACCCACCCCAACAAACTTCACGCACTTACAAAACTAACACCATATCACACATTCTCAAAAACTTGATTTCACAAACCTTTCTGCCATAACTCCACGACGATCTTTCACTGTACGAATTCCGCCTGTAAAACTCCACCGCAGATTCGGAATAAAATCTGACGTGACCGTCTGGTCCACGGAGTCGGTTGCTAGGGCGCGGGTCGCCCATACTGTCCCGGGGCGAAACCTCTAGCGGGACGGTGCAGCCGACGACACTGCCAGTCTTGCTGGCGAGGTTCACAGAGTATTGTTGCAAGATTCCACCGAACGCAGACATAATGCATCCATTACTCCATCAAAAGTTCTAAATATCCAAAGCAAAGTCTGTTGATAAGTGGTTCAAATTGTTGCTTACATGAAAACCTGTAACAAGCTTTTTATAACTTTCAGCAACCGAACTAGTTCACCAGCACTCATACACTGGTGCCTGTGTGTATAATAAGCGTATCGCGAAAAAAAAATCACGGATTTTCATTCATGCAGCGACGAACTTTGCAAAACTCCGCAGACTCTCCAAATATATTCCACGCAATGCACAGCAACTGAAAATGTCGTACTTTAGGCCAAGAGTCAAGAAAAGTAGACGACTTTGGCTAGAAATTAGACGTGTTTAATGTAATGACCTAGAACCTTGAGCTTATATCGACTACAAACCTGCGATCCGACACTTTGGTACAACATAAATCGATATGCTTATATCCCGCTTACTTCGCACGTGGTAGTAGGGTGTTTGACACGGTCGAGTGTGTGCGCATTGTAAACAGAATGGTATACACAGCACTCGAAGGTTTGTTATGCTGATCAAAAGAAAATCGGGTATTAGCAGCGGAAAATAAACCTTCTGGAGCTATAAGTACATTAGGGGTAACAGAGGCGGGGTATCATTTACTGAGGGGCTGCTTTGGTTGCGAAGAGGGATTTAAAAATGAGCTCCGTGGCAGATTCCGGGGACAGATTATTAACCTCGAATTTATCACAAACCCTGCTCGAATGTAATTGTTGGTTTGCACATGGTTTATCGTTTTTCTTTTAAATTCGTATATCTCCCAAGTTCACTGTTGCCAACAAAGCTGTGATAGTTTTTGTTAGGACTTTTTTGACCAACGTCTGTCGGAATAAAAACATTACATGTTCTCATAAGTTTTTTGATCAATCTTAAGATCATAGAGATTGGTGAATAATGTTCTGAGTAAATTTTAAATCTATCGAGAATATGGAACAACCATTTTATGACAGGAGGTCAGAATTTGTTTTATATATTAGGAATGGGAAACGTACAGTGTAGAATGTAAAGACTTTCGAGAAATCAACTCAAAGTCAAATTCAGGACAACATGTGTAACCCTATAGAAAGTATGTTCGGGTTAGGCAATCTCATCATCATTTCAGGATATAGACGGGAAGGCAATGTAAAAATAAAAGGATTTTAAACTCTTTGACACCCCCCCCCCCCCTTTCACGTCATGTTTATTGATGGTTTTGTTGTGTTTCTCCCCCTTTCTCTCTCTCTCTCTCGCTCTCTCACTATCTCTCTCTCTCTCTCTCTCTCTCTCTCTCTCTCTTTTTTCTCTCTCTCTCTTTTTTCCCTCTCTCTCTTTTTTTTTCTCTCTCTCTCCCTCTCCTTCTCTCTCTCTCCCTCTCTCTCTCTCATTCTCTATTTTCACTTCTCCCTCTCTCTCTCTCTGTATCCACCTCTCACTCTCTCATCTTACAGTCTCTCTTTCTCCACTCGCTCATACACGTACACGCACCAACATACATGCTTATAATTTATAGGTTTTGAAATATATCTTTAATGATATGAAATAAATTAAGATTAATCTCTCTCTCTCTCTCTCTCTCTCTCTCGCTCATATGAATATTTCCTATTTGTTTATGTCTTCTCCCTGGCAACGGCATATCTCTACAGTTCAAATAGTCCGTTAGAAACCCACCTAACGATCGGTGACAATAGCAAAAACTGTATGATGCTCTCACTTGCATTCAACTTTTTTTCTTTCATATTTCTAATAAAGGCTTATCGCTGATCTGGTCAAATAGATTTAGAAGAACAACTATAAAAGGGCTCCGTACAATATATTTCCAGGGGTACAATATTTGGTATTGTCTCTTTCCCTCGGGGAAATGTCTTTTCTTATCTCGCTCTATTAAATAACCAAGAATTGTTTGCCATATGCAGGTTTAGTAGATTTGAGAATTTGTTATACCTCATTTAATTTTGTTTATTTTCCAATAGCCAGCGTTTTTTTAAATACCCCACGAAAGGGGAGAAGCAGTAATACTGCTGAAAAGTACATGTAAACCTATCTCTCTTTCACCCCCCCCCCCTCCCCACACACACACACACATCAAATATACAATTTGTTCACACTAACATAGTGTAGGCCATTACGTCAGGCCTTTATCTTACTGCAAGTAAGCAATTTAATGTGATGCTTCCACTGTCTGTAGACACAAATTAAACGTCAAATATGAACAAAAAGAAATACAAACGCAGCTCTTCAGCGGAAAGAGATTGATTCTATTTTTATTCGTGATATTCAACTAATTGAAGGCCTATTTCCGACAGGAATCGGTTGGTGTTTTCAAATCAACTTTTAAAAAATAATCCTGGGTGTTCTTAACTAGCTTGGGAAGATATTAACGTGATAACATTACATTTTAACATTCTTATATATGGTATGAACTATTCGTCAAACAGTAAATAACACATATTTATTTTTTAAAAAGATTAAAATAAATATATTAGAACATCCCTACTAGGCTTTGCGATATGAACATCAATAAGAGGGTCAACATTTATAGTATCAACACCACTCACGTATATTGTAAAATAATTACATCTAGCGAACGCTTAAATAAATACTAGTAATATTTACGATAACGCTGAAATAACAACAATAATACAAGTAAAATACTAGATGTTAATTGATATTCATAATGGAAACCATAAAACAGCAATCATAATGATATCAAGAGTAATAACAAATGCATGATAGCAACAACAACAACTGTAATGAAAACCACAAAAAAAATAATAACACAATTAAAACAAATAAATACTGATGACGATAATATATAGTGGACATAAATATAGATTTATTTCTTTTAATTTTATAGAATCTTATTAAGGTTTTAGTGACATGAGCTATGAATTCAACCAAGGCTGAAATTGAAAGAAATTTACAATAATGGTAATAACAAAATAATAATGGTAATTTCAATGATGATGATGATGATGATGATGAAACAGATAATGTTTGATAATAATAATAAAAATAATGATAACAATAATGTTAATAAACATTATTACCCGTATCAGACATCTGAGCTGGTCATTTACAAAACCATATTGCCCTAGTTTTCACTAGCAGTGGGAACGGAGGGGTATATTCTTTGTATTTTCCTTGGTCTCCCTGCGCGTATTGACTTTGCGTGTAGAGACGAGTGAAAATATACCTTGGTATTTTCCACGGTCTCGCATTTTCATTGCGCATCTATTATGCGTACGAGAACCTGCGCACTTTGCACGCACTCTATTGTGACGTAATAATCACACCAAATACACACTGTTTGTAGTGTATCGAAAATTTTGTCAAGCACTGGATGCACAGTGTTGGTTTGACAAAGTTTGTTCAGTTCTTGAGATTGTCATGGTGGATGTCTCTATTTGCTCTAGATGTCTGATTTGAATAACAATAAAAATATTGACTGGCTTTACTTTCGGGGGATATCAGAAATATTGACCGCGCTAAGACCATATTGCCCTCGTCTTTCGACTCGGGGCAATATGATCTGAGCTTGGTCAATATTTCTGATATACCCCTCAAGGCCAGTCAATATTATATAAATAACAGCAGTCCTAATAATGATGATAATAATAGTAATACAATAATAACATAAGAATAAAAGTAATATGATAATAATAACAAAAAATAATAATAATAATAATAATAATAATAAAATTATTCTTCTGATAACAATAATAGCAAATGATGATGATAATAATAATGATATAAATGACGACATGATAATGACGATGATTAAAATGATGATAAAAACATAAAAACCAGCAATAACAATAATAATCATGTAATTTGATCAATGAACATTTCAGATAATTTGTAATTTACGTTCCATTTTTTATTTGTAGGGGGGGTGGATGGTGTATGTCGATTAAGTAAAAGAAAACATTGAGTTCTGGTAATGATAGAAAATGTATTCTCACAGAATCAAAACATGTTCAAGATTACAAATAAATTAAATGTGCCAAACGATTTTGGTAGAAATGTATAAGGGCTGAGTAATGGAGTAATGAGCATCTCAAGATAAGGAATTCAAGGTATAAAGTATATGCCCTACGCCATTGTGCTCATTTTTAAACACAGGTCACTATTTTTGGATAGTTGTGGTTTTTATTGAAGATGATTTCCAGCAAGTCTTGGTGAATTTGTTTTTACTTTACTGGTTCAAACAATCAATCTGCTGTAGAATAAACAATCCAGAATGAATTATAGCCATGTTCTCTCGACAAACGATTCCAATACCGGGGCCCAAGATTAGCTTTACAGTATGCGGTTGTAACAAATAACTGGTGCGTTGTGATGAGAAAGTATACAGAGTGGTCGATACTTCCTCTAAAGTAATTACAAGTCTTCGAGCTAAAGGAATATTAGAAGAATAATCACAATGAGACTGATAACATCAACCATGATGATTATGATGATGATGATAATAATAGTAATGATACTAACAATATCAGTAATATAAGAATAATACAATTGGTAACAATCATAATAATAATGATAATAATAATAACAATAATAATGACGTTTATGAAGATGATGATGAAAAAAGGTAAAAGTGATCATTTTATCACCATCAAAATTGTCAAACATCAATACCAGTACTTTTAACAATGTTTGATATTTCATAATCAACAACCAAAAAAAAAAAAAAATTACAGGAAACAACAAAAATCATGACAACTGTAATTATAATGTTATTCTTGACGATATCAAAAAAATAATTTTTGGAGTAATAATGATGATAATAATTAAGATAATCATATTAATAATAATGGTAAGAATAATAATAATAAGTAAAATAATAGGATAAAACAATGATAGGGAAAAAAATACAAGATAACAATCATGATAATGATAATAACAGCAATAGGGATGATGATGATGAAATTGATAATACACAAAATAAGAAAGATAAATAATAATGATGTTAAATAATGACAATAAAAATAACAACACTGATAATGGCAATAATTATAATGATAATAATGATATAAATATAAAAAAATATTTGATATGATATTGCTAACATGCGGTTGTTATACGGTAAACATTCGAAAATATTATCATTATAATTTCAATTTCTAACCGATTTACAATAAAGATCTACAGGTTTTAGTTGAATACGACTATTTCAATCCATTCGTGTTCCCATACATTAAACTATTTTACAATGAGTCCTTTAATAGAATGAGATGTATGTATTATGCCTGTAGGGTGGTATTCTGAAAATCATCATATCTTTTATTTTAGTGATAATATGAATTGACATGGCACAAACTGAAAATCATTACAACTACAAAATAAGGAAAATAAAGAGAAACGTGTGAAGAAGAAAGAGAACAAGTGAAAAAAAACGAGAACAGAATACTTCTGGAATCTGAATAACATCCCGAACCCTTCATTTAATAAGGAGCTTCCTTTTTTCTTTTTTTTTCTTTTTTGTAACGTTACAGTGCGCCCTCAATCGACGGGCGCACGCTTAGTCACTGGTCATGAGTTTAGATTTGTTATGGCAAATTGTGTGTGCTAAAAAATAAATATAACATAATATTTAGAATAACACCCAGACTAGTAATCTTAAAACAAAAATAAAACTGGTTCATTTCGAGTTGTCGCGTTTTTGTGATGAGAGGACAATTTTAGCGTTATAGAAAAGTGGGGAAAATTTATGAAGAATAGCTGCTTCGTCGATGAGCAGACATTATTAGGGACTTTTAGATTTGCGTGGACTGATACGTGTGACGTCCATTCAAGGCAGTGCATTAAAAGGACGTCGATCGTAGCAATCCCCATTGTCTTTGTGCGAATCTAAAAGTCCCTGTTTCCTAGATCATGCCGAACGTTCACCGTTTAAGTAGCCGGGGCTCCCATGATGAATCTCCCAGCATCTCCTGTAGATGACAAATAAATAAACAAATAAACAAACAAACAAATAAATAAATAAACAAACAAACAAACAAATATAATAAATAGAGAAAAAATATCTATAATTTAAAAAAAAAAAAAATTAAGGTAGGCCTAAATATACAAACTAGATATACATATATGTTTTAAAGTTTCTATTATCCAATACAAAATGGATATCAATGGGCTTTCTCATTGTTTGCGTGTAACAAATACATTGCGAGGTCCGTAGCCGGGGCGTTGACACTATTTTGATTTACGTCGGATTGGAAGAATACCATAGTGTAAACGTGCCCTATAAATGTATGCTTTTGAACGCCCCCATCGTCGATAAATGACATAAACGAGCTGACGTGGAGCCAACCACCATACCCTATATTAAAAATCATCCTATATATACATGATATTTTTGAGATTGTTCCAGGAAGATTAGGTGAAGTAGTTTTCATTTTTATCATTCAAAACATCACAAGCTAGAAGCTCGTAATTAATACCTATACTCATCGATTAAAAACAATGTTTGCACTGTTTATTTTGCATTCAATTCCTGTACGATGTCACTTTCAGAATGGTCGAAAACTTGACCAGTCACTGACGCACAGTCCTACGTCAGGAAAATGACGCAATGGGCCAAGCTATGCTAATGAAGCGCATAGAGGCAATCAGTGCACGCGCCCAATCCTTTGCACGGTTTACTTTGCATTCTCTTTTTGTTGCACGATATACCACTCAAACATGTCACGTCCAAGACCAGATCAGTCAATGACGCAGTGCAACGTTAGTCAAATAACGCTTCGCGTGCAAGGGCCTAACAATGCTAATAATGTTCGACAAAGGCAATCGTTGCATGCGCCAATAATTCACAGCAACGTTTGCACTATTCATTTTGCACATATCATTATTTGTTGGGTTAAGATATCACTAAATGGTGTCGCGTCACAGAGCGCATCATTCATTGGCGCACTTCTACGTCAGACACAATAATGACGCATCGTACGTGTACAACGGGTATTGGTTAACAATGTGATCCTACATACCTGGACAAGCTCCTTTTGTTTGATGCCTGTATTCGGTCACGTCTGTGTCTCGAAGTTCGATGTTATGAAGCTCCATGAAACACCTACAAAATAAATAGTAATTACTAACTATTATAGGCCTAACAAAAAAGATGTTCCCAAAACATGGGTCGGTCGGTCGGAAATCTTTTTTTAATATTTTTTTTACTCTCTCTCTTTGGGCTGATATTTTTCAGTTTAAAATTAAAAAGCCGACGGTAGATTTCAAGATGTTGGGGTCGGTCGCAAAGGGCACTACAACATTTTTTTTTAAAGGCCTTGTATGTTCGTTAGTGACTTGTTTTTAAAAACTCGAGGCTAAAGTTTTATCATAGCCTGAGAGAATCAGTCTGTAAGAGTATTTCCACCCAAAAGCTTCATATCCAGCTATTGAGTACTAATTTTGTTTTAAATATTTGTTTTAACTTGACTTCTAAGAAAGCATGTTTATGTTTGTAAGTTAACATCCAGGGGACGACGGCTTAAATACATATCTGAGGGACTTGTTATTTAGGATTAACGCCTGATAGCATTGAGTTGGTTTCGAACCCGGGACCTTCCTGGTACGAGACCACTGCTCTAATGATAATTATAGGTACACTTATAGTACTAATTAAAATCCTACCCTAAATTTATCAGTCAGTCTTGACACTTCGCTAATCCCCAACTTTTAAACACTAGTTATTTTATTTTGCATTCATTGTTCTTTGCTTCTCAGACGGCAGACATAATGTATCGGACTTTAAAAATTCAGAAATGCATCATGAATAAGAATCATTATTGTCGCCTGTTGGCGCTATTACAAAGGATCAATCTTGCCTTGCACGTTGTATTATCAGGAAACCACTCTACATCTTTTGCGCGTATAGAATTTTTCTCTTTTTGTACATCTTAAATCTGATAAAAGTTAGTACGAACAGGGGGGAGGGAGAGAGAGAGAGAGAGAATGGTGAACAAACATACCTGTTGGTAAACGTCACGTTGCGTTCCCCGTTGGTTGCACAGACGGGAAAGTAGAGATTTTCTTTACAATGTTTCACCATTCTCTCACAGCTCGGGGAACCGTCCCGAGTCAGCACGCAGCGTTCGTACAGCTTGCATTCCTTGAAATAGGGATCCTTACCGCATTTTCCTTTTAGAGAAAAAGGAAAGTTTTTTTCTTACAATTCTTTAATCATTCTTCAGTTTATTAAAAAAAAAAACATGCAAAACATTAAATCCCCACTGCACTATATAGCTACTTGCGCCCTCTCTATAATGTAGCCACAATGCCTAATCAGTGCTTGGTGGTCCCCCGTGATCCTCTTTTTCTTATAGAGAGCTGATTTGATGAGATAACCACCTGTCAGTGACCTTGCAGGGAGGTCTAATCCCCCTGGCCAAACTGGTGCAGATGGGCTTTAAACTATATACAAAGCATCTCAATGTTAAATACAACGTAAATTAAATTAATTCACATAAACTAAGAAGAATAAAAGGGCCATCATTTTAAAAAGCCAACTGAGACTTGACAGGTTGATGGTCTCAAGAATGATCAAGTTATAAGATTACATTTTCGGCGGAGAAAAGAACAATAAATGAAAACAAAGGCGTTGGGGGTATTAAAACAACTGAAAAAATAATGATAAATTGTTGATAAGAAGATAATAAATATAATTTATGCTTCATTTTAAATGAATTTAGAAACGGGATTGACTTATTGATGAATATAATGGCCTATACAATTTAAATGTTTTGTGTATCATCACCATCATACATGTAAGGAATTATTAATTACATTTTGTAAATGTTAGTAAACTTCATAAAAACATATTTTATATACAATTTGTACATCAATATTTTGTTTTAACAAGACGAAAATGAGAAAACGAATAGTAATAACTTACATAGATTATATATACACATTTCAAATAAAACATAATCATAATTTATTTGTTAAAGTTTTGCAGGATGTCAACCTTCTACACTTTTCACGCTACTATTTTTACAAATATTTGATACAAATATTTATATTTTAGTTTCAACGATGAACTTGAATTTGACTTTTCAATAACTCGTTTTGATTATTGGCTTGTAATTACTAGTAAGTACTAATTAATCTTCAACAAGATATTTGCTTCTTTTTTGTATATTGATTGTTTGCACATTTAAGGAATCTTCAATAATTGCTTTCTATATGCATCTCATTTTGAAATAGTACAATTTGCAATGACTACTTTATAACTCATTGTGGAGTCTATTTCAATAAATTAGATTTGAATTTTTTTTATTCATTTTTTCAAATTGATAATTTTTTTGATTAGTCAACTTACTGATTCATTTTGCAATTTGTCAAGTCACGAAGGATTGATTTGGAAGTCGAATTTTATCCGGATGTAGGGGCAATTCTTTTCTGACTACAAAATGATTTAAAGCCTCACTGTCCTACTTTTAGCTACTTGCTCCCTCTATATAGAAAAGTTCCCCAATCGGTGCCTGTTGATCCCCATGATCCTCTTTTTCTTAAGTTAGTTGAGAGCGGAGTTAATGAGATAGCCACCTGTCAGTGACCTCGCTGTGTGGTCTAATCCCTTCTGGCCCAGTAGCATTGACGGTCTTTAAGCTACGGTCACAAATGTTCGTACGAACGATGCGTTTGTACGAATTCCAGAGTTCGTAGAGATTCGTAGATGGGGCATACCTATTTACGTCCTTCTTACGGAGTTCGTATGAACGCCGTTTATTGTTTTTTTTTCTCTCGTAAGAATGCCTCGAGTTCTTCTTACGTCAGACCAACGGTCATCTTTCGAGTTTTTGTTCTCGCAAGATGGTCGTACGTGTAACTGACGGCATTCTCAAGTCATTCGTAAGAACATCTTATGAATTTGTGTATGTTTTATCGGGTTACTTTGCCTTACGGACGGTCTACAAACGCAGGTTTCGTACGGCCTTCTTAAGAAGATCTTACAAAATGGTCTGAAAATCGGTCGTACGGAATTCGTAACAGTTCGTAATGGTATTTGCTTAGGCTTAATGTCTTATATCGCCAAACTTACCTCGGCATTTGCCTTGCGCGTCCTTGTGAAAACGGTCCGTACAAAACAAGCCTTCCTGACAGTCGTAGCGATCGTTGCACGGTTCTCCCAGCTTTTTCCCGCACAGACAGTAGCAGACTGATTGATAGGAGCCAACGGTCTGGTAGACTGGGATGAGCACAGACGTTTCGATCGGTTGGGTGTCCATCGCAACACCGTTCTCAAAGAGAATAGGCCTGATTTGCGGGGGGCTGCAATCACATTCCTTGATGAGGAATTTAAACAAAAAAGGGTGGGGAGAGGGTATCAGTAACAATAATGAAATATAACAATTTTAACGATATGATTATAATGATAATTTAGGAGGCGCGATAGCTCAGTCGGTAGATCAGTGGTCTCGTGATCCGGTGACCCGGGTTCGAAACCAAGTCGATGCGCTATAGTGCCCTTTGGTAAGGCATTAATCCTCATTACCAGGTCCCTCGGAGAGGACATAAAGCCGTCGGCCGTCTGGTTGCTTACTTACAAGCATTTATGCTTTCTTAGCAGTCAGATAAAATACCCACCACCACATAACAATAATCATCATGAAAATGTTAAATTATTGATGATATTAATAATCACGATATCGACTGATGGAATAATGATAATACTAATACTGGTATAAATACTGATGATATCGATAATGATGGTGACGGCGATGATGAATATTAGAGTATGGTAGTAATAATAATAATAACAATGACAATCGTAAGAGCAACAACAATAGTAACACAAATAATTCGCTCTTGCATAGCGCGTATAATGATATAAAGTCTCTACGCGCTTCTATGGGTTGCATTCTTTGCACACGTTGCGCCTCGAACACTTGATTGTCAAGTGGATTTGGCGCCTTACAAATATATTTATTTATTTATTTATTTCTTATCTTTTGACAGGGTAGCCCCTGCATTAACCAATAAGTAGTGGTCTTCCATTGGTCCCTGAATGAACATGAACAAATTTACATAATAAAGCATAACGTTTATACAGAACAGTTAAAAATAAATAATACTCGTTTGCAAAATAAACATCATTAACCTAGTTCAACAGTAATGTCAATAGGAAAATATTGATTAAGTCGCTATTATGTGAAGCCATGTTAATATTACAGAACATGCACGTATGTATTATAATTTTTATTATTGGATATTAGTTATACTGGCGTTAGCTCCAACTAACGTAGCGCTTAACAGCAACAACATTGATATATATATATATAATGTACATAAATTACTGTTGCCCAAGTTGGGATTTTTTCCTCACCTTTTTGCATAAAATGATTTTGACAATATGGTTTAATATTTATAGATAGAGTTAAATCTTCTCAAAACATTTTTGACCGATCCAAAGAGTCATAAAGAATTATAGTTTCAAGAAAGTATAAACATAATCTATCAAGAATAAACCATATTGCTATAACCGTTTCTTGAATGAAAAGAGGAAAGAACAAAATAATTCCGATTGATTTCTCACCGAGCACATCAAATCAGCTAAATTGTATCCTCTTATTGAAGCCGGGAAGCTGATTGTAGCCAACATTGCGAAGGCCAGAATTTTGAACGCCATCTTGGATCAGATAGTCTTGCAAAAGCTGTCTCCTAAATTTGCTACCTCTGTCCTTGTCTGCAAAGCAAAATCCTTCTTAACTAGTGGATGTGCAGGTTCCCTCCCGCACAGATTCAGATAGACTAAACCACCTCGATAAAGTCGCAGCGTTAGTCAATTTTGAGCAATTGCTAGACTTCTGAGGTGGGCGTGGCCAAGCGAAGATACGATTATTCGTGTTTATGGTTAGCCAATCAAATGATCCCTCTGAAAACGGCTATTAATATATTAATACATTCTGACGTATTCGTTTGGTGCAAATAATAACAAAAGAAGATATTTGGTTGGCATCCAGCCTTTTTGTAGTTCCACAAAATAATACTATGTTTTACAAAATGTCCTCAGCTCCATCCCTAATGATTTGTTTAACACGGACAGGTCTCTTAGCACTTGATATGCTATCTTCTTCTCCCTTTACATCATCTTCTTTATCTTCTTCTTCTTCTTCTTCTTCTTCTTCTTCTTCTTCTTCTTCTTCTTCATCATCTTCTTCTTATCCTTCTTCTTCTGTTTCTTCATCAGCATCTTCTTCTTCTTCTTCTTCTTCTTCTTCTTCTTATTCACCGTCTTCTTCTTCATCATCTTCTTCTTATCCTTCTTCTTCTGTTCCTTCATCAGCATCTTCTTCTTCTTCTTCTTCTTCTTCATCGTCTTCTTCTTATCCTTCTTCTTCTGTTTCTTCATCAGCATCTTCTTCTCATATCATTCCTGTGGTATTTGATAATAGATACATAATATAGTTGGTTTGATTATAATTTTGGGGGTAAAATTTGGTTTCGTTCTTCACCGGCACGCCCCTTTTTAACCAATAGCATATGTACAAGCGTCATAAAATCACGATGGCCATTTCTTCTTTACTTGACAGGGATTTTTTGTTTTACACCTTCTTCTGCAAAACCCTGAATCTGCCCCTGTTGAAAGTTTACATATCCGCACACATGTGTTAACGATCTTTATCAATACGATCAATACGTAATGGCAGCATGTGTGTCATTGTTGACAAATGTCAGATTCTTTTGAAGAGTGTAAAGGAAACGATTGAAATGCAGCGATTTCTTGTTTGTCTTACCTTTAATCGAGACAGGTGAAACAAATATGATTTTGTTCTCCGGTGCTATTATCGATGTCATAGTTATTTCCCACCTTTTTTCCCCTTCTCCTTCTTCCCCCCTTTTGGTGGTTGTTTGTAGGATCTCCCAAATGACATGTTTCTTGCTACCAGGTCCCCCCCCCCCCCTCGCCCCACCACCACCCCTCTCTCTCTCTCTCTCTCTTTCTCCAGTTTTCTTTCACTTCTTCCTGTCTATAGTTAAATCAAATCCCTCTCTCTCCATTTTCTTTCTCTATCTCTATTTCATTTAACTCTCTCTCTGTAGTTTCTTTTACTTTGTTCCCTGTCTCTATTTCTTTCACACACTCTCTCCCCCTCTTTCAACTTCTTTCTCTGTCCCAGCTCTTTATCTCTCTCTCTCTCTCTCCATTTTTAATTCTTCTTCCTCTCTCATATTTTCACTCTTCCTTCATCTGTGTATCTTAATTGCTGTCTTTCTCTCACTCCCATCCTCTCTCTCTCCCCCCCCCTCTCTCTGTATTCAATTTTTCAACAATTTCAAATGTTTAAAGCAGACCTTTCCTTCAAAACACATGTATATCATATCACATTGTCAAGAACTTAGCTTTTTTCAAATCCTTTTATTATCAAGTAATATACACACATATTTACAACGTTCTGATTGTAGGTTTGTTAATTCAAAGCTGACACATTCTTGGTGCCAAAATCATAAATCACACAGAAATGGGGCTATATTAAATGTATTGAGTTGGGGGTACAGTAGTGGTAAAGGGGACAAAAATTCTGTAAGGCTTTACCTTTCTTTGCATATACAATTAGAGGAATATCATACTCGCTTATAGTAGCAATATCACATGAAAAAGATTCCCTCCCGTAAATTACCCCCCCCCCCCCCCCCCCCGAGTACCATGGTTAAAGGTAAAGACCAGTATTGGAAACGCCCCAATTTCAAAAAATGAAATGGAAGCTCTCATTACCAATCATGTGAAAGAATATGTTTTGACTAAATACATGATGATAACAAATTTGCCGGGAAACCGCCTACTAATTCATATATTTGGTAAATTTGTTTCTCTCACTTGACCATAACTGGTCTTTACCTTTAATGAAATTCCCATTGTTTGGTTACAATGGTATAAATGGTGGATGGTAATTTGGACAAAGAACCATGGTTACCACCATGGTACCTTTTTTTATAAGGGTTAGAGTTGAAATGCAGTAATATTCCAAATATCTAATTTAAAAAAAGAAATTAAAAATGTAACACAAAACTGTATTTTTGTTTAGAGTTTGTACAATAAGGGTAGTTGAAATCCCAGGAAAACTAACTCCAGTTTGAGAAAGGATTATTTAAAATATCTGTTTCTTTGGGGTCTGTTCTATTGTTAATGGTGGTGAAAAGGTAAAGGGTTAGTGAGGAGGCGCACTGGCTCAGTGGTAGAGCAGTGGTCTCATAACCATAAGGTCCAGGGTTCGAATCCAAGTCAACTTGCGTCTTCGGACTGTGGATCACATGATTAGCGGTTCAAGTCCCGTCGTGGCACTAACGTCCTTTGGCAAGATATATAAATCTGCATTTGCCACTTTCCACCCAGGTTTTAAATGGTCCTTGAATGCTGTGAGTATCGCGATCAGTAGCATAGCAGAGCCGGAGTAATATTGGAGCGCATTGATTACCTTGCATGGTGTCTATGTGCACTATAACAATACCCGATATCATTATTATCATTAAATAGTGATCAGATGCCCTTATGATCTTCACTCACGCTGACGAGACCGCCACCAGACCTACGACAGATCGGACAAACAACTGCAGTAAAATAAAACTGCCAAGAATACATCGGTTTGGAATCAATCTGAGGTGGTTCAGTGGTATGATTAGAGTATAATTCCAATTTTTACGGAGATAATCATTTCTTGTTCCCTTGCTGTGTCGTAAGCGGTGATGTTGACGAGGGCTGAAACTGTTTCTGTTGTTCGCTGTCTAACGTCTTGAGTAATCTGAACAGGCCTGCAGCCTCCCGGATGTGGCTGAACTCAATACAGAATGCTTGCATCTCTATAAAGAGATCCTATGGAGAGACAACAGCAAAATATGGACCATATGTGAACAGATCAATTTGGAATTTAGACTGCAATTCAATACAAGCTAAACTTAAAGATAAAGTTGCGTTCTGGTCATGCGATTGCATTGTGAAAGAAACGGTGTGGAATCGATCAGAAAAAGTTGATCATGTAGCATATAAGTATTGGTCTATACTGCAAGGGTCTGGAATCATCAAAATGATAAGGCATTTGGCCCAGTCTTGTTAAAGTTACAAGCACTGTACACAGAAAGATGTATATGGGACTACACAAGTTTGACATGCTCAAATGAACTGTAAAAACACTCCATATTCATAGCTTTTACTTAAATATTGACAAAGATTAGTTACTTAATACTCGTCTTTCGAAGAAATCTATTTCTATTTTGTATCAGTTTATTTAGTAGAATGTTATTATTACCATTATAATACATTAGTATATTGATGATTTTATTATGAAGTAATTAACTTTGTTCAATTACTTTGTACAACAAAAACAAATCTGCTCTTGAGCTGTATAACAAAGTCTCTTCAATAAAACAGTTCCATTCAATTCAACTCAATCACAAAATAATTGTCTGAAAATGCAAATTACATTCATGAACTCGAGACATATTATTGTTCAAAAATATGTTTTTCATATCCAACCAAAACCTACTTACTTTGACGTTGATGATCTTATTGCGTATAAGGGACTGTAGGAAAACACACACCTGTTTAAAGAAGGAGAGAGGCGGATGAGAAAAAAAATTGAAAATAAAGGTCAACAAATAGTCACTGGCAAACTCAAGCCTCGTTCAAACAATGATGCAATGAACTAACTCAAACTGCTGGATCTAAATAAAACATCACAAGCCTAGTTTGTAAAGATTTATAACAAATTGCTTGATAAGCAATAACCAACAAAAATACGATATTTTAAAATAGAAAATGAACTGTGCATTCTTGTAGGTTACAGCATAAACTAAGTGCATACCAAATTTGTTTACGGTTAATGCTTAAAGCTCCAAGTGGAACTTTGTTTTTTTAGTTTAAAAAGGTTAGAAATACAAATATAGCCTTCAGTCATACGTCAAGCTGATTTATGGAACATCTGTTGCCTATTGCGTACATTAACAAATCAATGATTTTCAAAGAGAATATTATTAAGTCACGTCTATCACATCTGATTAAATATTAGAGTATAGGAGGGCCTCCCTGGGTAATTATTTACCTCAAAGCAGAGAGCAAAAGGATAAATATTGGTAGAGCAAGAAACCAATTATCTAAAGCACAGGAGAGATAGAGGAAGGGGTTATCGATTGATGTGGAGAAGGGAGAGGGGTTGTATTTTAAAAGGAGAGAGAGAGAGAGAGGGGGGGGGGCGAGTGTGCAACAGAGAAAAGTAGAGACAGAGGAAGAAATAAGAGATTGAGATAGAATGAACATGACAAAGTGAGTAAGAGAGAGGGAGAGAGTGAGTGATAGAGAGAATGATAAAGGAAGGGAGAGAGAGAGAGAGAGAGAGAGAGACAGAGAGAGAGTGATAGAGAGAATGATATAGGGAGAGAGACAGAGAATGATATATACAGAGATGCCAACTTTTGGAAAACAGAAATAGGGAGGATTTGTAACCGACACCAAATAATGTGCGCGTAGCACACATCTTGAGCGCGTAGCGCCCGACCCACGCGGCCGGGGTCCTGGAAGCTCTGGGGTTCTTGATGCTCTCTGGTGCAATATGAGCCTTGTTTTGGAGCATTTTACATGTGTATTTAGTTAAAGAATTCCTACTTTTTTTAAAAATAACATACAAACTGTACATAAGTCATGATGAATTCCTTTCAGACTTCCGAATACACGGGTACTTGATACTGTATTCGGTCTTATACTTCTGAGACCATTTCTTGGTCTTCTTTTGCTGATTTTCCGCCATTTGGATTCTGTGTCAATATCCACGCATTGGTTACGGCGATCCATATGAAACAATCTTTCGCTACTCTTAATTTGTCTTTTAACCCTTACTGTACTGGGCTATTTCGAGCACTCTCTGACTGGGGGGGGGGGGGGGGGCCTAGGAGGCCCCCCCCCCATGATCTCGGCTGTCGAATGTCCGATGAACGCGAAAATTTGCATGTTTGTAGATATTTACGTAAGGAACAAGATGGTATAATTAGTTTTTTGGTAATATGCAAATTTTTGTCGTTATAGCCTAATTAATTATGCAAAATGCTAATTTTATGCATTTTACAGAAAACTCTACATTTTTGTCCGTAGACTTGTGAAGAATCTTGAAAATGTATTGAACTAGATGGAACTTCGACTGCGCGCAGTCGAAATGATGCCTCCGTCATAGAGCAATTTTACAAACCAAAACAGAAGAAATTGTTCAAATTCAAGTTCAATTGTAATCCATTAACAGGTTCTCAGAATATCGTGATTACAAGCAATTTCTCATATACATATATGACCCTTTGATCTTTGACCACATGACCCTAACATCTACTCAGTTCATTGGCTCTGCAAAATGTTCCGAGTTAAATAGTAATCCATCTGTCAGTTCTAATGAGAATGCGTTCACAAGCTATTTTTGCATACATAATGAGCCCATGACCTTTGACCTTTGACCTCATGACCCAAGAATCTACTCAGTTCATTGGCTCTGCAAGATACATACATGATCTAAGTTTGGGAGGAATCCAACAATCTGTTCTAATGATAATGCGATCACAAGCTATTTTTGCATGCATAATGAGCCGCATGACCTTTGACCTAGACCTCATGACCCCAAAATTTAATCAGTTCATCGGCTCTGCAAATAACATACATGACCTAAGTTTGGCAGGAATCCATCAATCGGTTCTTCAGATAACGCGATCACGAGCTGTTTCAGCATACATAATGAGCCCTGTGACCTTTGACCTTTGACCTCGTGACCCCAAAATCTAATCAGTTCATCGTCTCTGCAAGATACATACATGACCTAAGTTTGGCAGGAATCCATCAATCGGTTCTTCAGATAACGCGATCACGAGCTGTTTTTGCATACATAATGAGCCCTGTGACCTTTGACCTTTAACCTCGTGACCCCAAAATCTAATCAGTTCATCGGCTCTGCAAGATACATACATGACCAAAGTTTGGCAGGAATCCATCAATCGGTTCTTCAGATAACGCGATCACGAGAACGGGACGTACGGACGGACGGACGTACGTACGTACGGACGTACGTACGGACGGACGGACAACCCGAAAACATAATGCCTCCGGCTACTTCGTAACGGAGGCATAATAAATGTTTCCTTCATCTCAAATTCGTGAGGTTTCATAATTTGTATGATATTTGAAAATCAATAGGTTAATTTGCATGAATTATGAATACGCATTCATGAATATCAAATCCGGAAATATATATAGGGAACTAGAATCCTTACAAAAATTGTCAGACTCCACTTTTTGAATGTTGTTACTCATTATTCATATGAAACTTCTTTTCTATCACAAAAAAAGTTATTTGAAGTAATTAATAATGATAATTTATGCAAATTTGATGCGATTTTCAACTATTTATTTTCTTATGTATTTTATTGTTTTTTATTTCTTATTATATCTATTGTTTTATTTCTAATGTATTCTATTGTTCTGAAATACATCAAGTTACTCTGAGAAACATATAAAAGCAATTTGATATCAATTCATAGCTTCACATTTCTGCTTGTACATGAATATATGCAATTATAGCACTTTTTTTATGACATGCGCATACTAATTGTTACAGGTATATCCGATTTCGACGAAAATGGTATCAAAATGTGCGTAAGACTTGAGGGAAAAAAGTCATGAAACGATAATTCTAAATCCTGAGCGGTTGCGGCACAATCTCCGAAAATGTCGAGGGGGGGGGGCCTCTGAGGCCCCCCCCCCCCCTAGTACAGTAAGGGTTAACATAGTGGAATTACTACATGCTTAAGTTAGCAGACAATATTTCCCATTCAATTCACAGATATTTATACTGATAAGCGCCGCCCAAAAAAAAATCATAATTAAAAAAAAAAAAAATTGGAAGGGTAAGGTCAAGAGTTGGGGTAAATTATCTGGAGCCTCCCGATGAAATCGGAAGGGTTGGCATCTCTGTATATATATATCTCAGAAGGGAGACAAAGAGATCGACAGAGAGAGAGAAAGAGAGATAGACTAACAGAGCTGAGGGAGAAAAGGTATGCTCGCATGAAAGAGAGACAAAGACCCAGGCCTACATGTCAAGACAACATTTCCAATCGATAGGTTTACTCACCAGTCTGACCAGTCTGTTCTGCATTGACTTGTCTTTGATCGTCTCACAGGTCGAAATGCAGTTGGAAATGTATAGATGAACAAACTCCTGGGGCAAGTCTACTGCCTGTATTCAAAAATGAAATATGGATCATATACAGAATTTGTTCAAAATTAATTTACATAAAATCATAGTTCAATGAAAAATCAGATACTTTAAGTGATTTTGGACAGGATGATCTAGATTTTTGTTGCTGTGCCATATTCTATGCCATTATTTGTTGCATTGCTGTCCCCTCTTAGCTTTGTTGTTGTTGTTGTTTAATGTCACTTCTGTATTATGTTGTTACACAGGACCTGTTGAAAGACCCTTTGAGAGTGTAATGAACCACTCCCTATGAACAAAATAAATGAATCAAATAAATTAAATATCTAATCAGATAAATAATTAAAATAAATAAACAAATTAGGCCGAATGAATTAATTTCTTACTGTCTCATCCCTTTACTCTGTTTTTTTAATAATTTTTTTTTGTTTCTATCTTTATACTCTGAAGTTAAATTAAAATAAGAATAAACTCAAGGAGGTAACCATATCTTCTGAGATAATATGAAGAGGAACCTGTCTGTAAGGACCATCCGAGGGAAAAATGAAAATTGGCCACTGTAAACTGGTGGCATTTCTAGACAGGTTCTACAACACACGTTTCTCCCTAGAGGAATATGAATTGCATGGCCACTATAGACAGGAGGTCTTTATAGAGAGATGGCCACTAAGATAGGTTTGACTGTACATGTATTAGTGCTTTAACCTGACATTTGATTAACATAAAGCCTGAAGTAAATCTCCCTGAGGGTACATACAGTCAAACCTCTCTATAAATGTGACCTGTCTACGGTGGCCAGCTTCTTCCTGGGGACCATTACTACCATATGGTCACTGTGAGGGCACACAGCTCTTACTAACACAAGGCTTTCGTCATTCTACCAGGTCCCCATTTGTCTCTCCTGGGTATAAAGTGGCAAATGTTGATTAATGCCTTGCCAAGGTACATTGGTGCTGTGTCCAGAATTAAACCCATGAGCCATGATCCTTGCATTACAATTCAAGTGCTTAACCACTTGACTGCTACTGGCTTAAAACGCATTCATACCCCCTGTGCTACAGCATTTTTGTACTGTACAAACACGGTTCAAAAACTGTACAATGTACACAAAAAGGCCCAATTTATTTGGAAGAACGCCATCTGCTGTACAAGACCTGTATAACATCATTGCAGTGCTAATTACACAGTAGGGCTAGGCATTATACAGTGTGACGGTCTTGAAAGTACAATGCCCTAAGCACGTACATGTACGTGGTGAGCAGTCAAGTGGTTAAAATGGCTGTAGCATGACAAGACTATGTGTCTTTCTCGCGGCCTGACTCGGGGCCAATCGGGTATAATACTACTACGGACGACGCGATCGCAGTTTTCATGTGCGTGTAACATGCGCGAAAACTGAAGCGTGAGGAGAACTTCGGTCTGTTTTGCACCTTTTCGTGAACGCTAGCGCCCTGAACGTTAATCAAGTCCATTTGTTTATGTGCAGTTGTTCAAAAGAAGACGTAGATGGCGTCAACCAGTATTCCCCATGCTACAGCATTTTTAAACCACTCTACTACGACACCTCTATCATAATTATAATTATTATCTCAAAGATTTAGCACTTTTGAATAATGTCAAGAGCGGCTTACCGTTGTGAGTCTGTTGACGACTTCCATGGAGTGCAGGGACATCTCCATATTGACCAGGACGGCAAAGTATTCTGTGATCTGATTAGACTGAATCAAACGTAGCAGGATCTCTATGGCAACCAGGGGATTGCTCTCCACCAACCCCGGTAGCTGTAAAACGAAAACAAGAAAAAGAAATGGAAAATGTTATACTTCATTCTAAAGGTGTACAAAAAAAAGTGTAAATATATTTGATTCCATGGAGTAAGGCATATAAGATATGTAAGATATATATTCTAGTAAACACAACTTCATAAAATGAAAATGAGAATTGGACTACAGCAATTCATGTGTTTTTGACAAATGTATCAGATACACTTGTAAGGTTTGTATGGAATAAATTACAAAACAATAACATATCAAATACTTAGACCAAAAAACTAATGGGATATTTGAAAGTCCATGTTATACAAGAACTAAACCATATTCAAAGTTAAAAGGGTTAAAAATCAAATCAAACTCATGCGTGGGCTCAATACATTTTATTGAAATTCTTGATACTACCACCCAAAAAAAAACTTATATTGGCTTTCCTGCCTGTTTAAGATAGTGAAAATGGGCACTCTGTTTTCACATTTGTAGGCAATGGTCCTATGTCATACACCAGCTTGGGATCTTTTTTCCAGTCCACTAAGCAGCTGCTGTTATTATTGCAACATGAGTGTATCTGATTTCACTGCATGTCTAAGGAAGTGAAAATGAACATAGTTTCCTTACCTTTGTAGGCGTCAATCCTATGTGGTAAACCAATTTTTGATCTTTTTCCAGTTCACTAAGCAGCTGCTGTTATTGTTGAAACATGAGTGTATCTGATTTTACTGCATGTCTAAGAAAGTGAAAATAAACAAAGTTTCTTTACCTTTGTAGGCGTCAATCCTATGTGGTAAACCAGTTTTGGATCTTTTTCTAGTTCGCTAAGCAGCTGCTGCTGTTGTTGGAGCATGAGTGTCTCTTTGAAGGCCTTGGCCATGAGTCTCTTAACCTCTTGCCCAGCACTGTTGGTCTGACACATTGTGGAGTCCCATGCAATCGTGTGGTTGCCGTCAGAAGGGTTCATCCATAATAACTGGAAAGGAGGTTGATAAAGATAAAAGTGAGAGTGCCATAATTTGATGAAAATGAACACCAGTGAGATTTTTTTTTTGACAATTTACTCCACAATATCCCCTGAAATAAAAGTTGAATAATGTGTTGGTAAACAAAGGATCATGTGTGATAAATTCAAAACATATACTGTCATAAAATCAAAAGACAAAACACTGACAAGTGGTCATAGAAAAATAATTCAACATCTATTTCGGGAAGGAGTAAAATGAATAATCAAAAGTTCAAAGTCAATTCTGAAAACTCATGTACATAGGAACGAAAAAAGAAAATGCAAATCCGGTAGGCGGGCATAACTAACATCACGTTTCACCTCTCTTTAGAAATCTAGCCATCTGATTGCTCGAAATTGGAGTCGTGACTTTAGCCATGCCCACCTACCGGTCAAATCCATTGATGGCAATGCTTACAACATTTTAAGGAAAGTACATATAACAAAATGAAAAAAACAAACATCTATTTTGCTAGAGTAACATATTGTAAAATATTTCCTCTGAAAAAGTTGCCAATTTGATACTCACCTCATCCTCACATATGTGTAGTGGGGGCGGTAGACGGATAAACTCGGGGGTAAAGGTCGTTTCCATGGGAGGCTTTGAGCCGCAGATGAGGGCCTCCACCACAGGCTGGGCTATTTGAGGGTCAAAGACCGAGCTGGAGAGAGAAAGATGGAAACGCACAGATTAGTCATGATTGTGGTATAATGGCATCCTGGCCCCTATTTCATAAAGCTTGTTATCAGTGAGAAATGACAGTTTTTGTTATAAGCTACTGTAATCCTTGTTTCTGATTGGTTATCAGCAGATTTGTCACTTGTTTTTGAAATTGTAATTGAATAAAGGCTTTGTGAAACAGGTCCCGGATCAGCAAATATTTCCCCCCTAAATACAGATTTAGATATCTAGATTTTAAATCTCTCATTATGTTGTCAATTTAAGGATTTTACAGCTAAGTTTCCTTTTTCAAATTCCTAGCATCAAATGCAATATAGTTATGTTACAAAAATGGATGAAAATGCCTTGAAAGGGTTAAAGAGAAGGTTGAGTTCTGGGAAGAGGTGACAAATAATTGGTGAGCATTATCATTGTATTATACAAGTGTGGAAGAACATCAGATACAAAATGTTCCCTGAAAAGCATGGCTCTTCAAATGCCTTTATATTCTAAATATGGCATGTAACATGAACAAAAATTGGGACAGATTTTCTATGCCACATGTTTGTGTAGTCCCATATACATCTTTCTGTGTACAGTGCTTGCAAGTTTACCAAGACTGGGCCAAATCATTTTGATGATTCCAGAACCTTGCAGTACACACCAATACGTATACCAGTATGCTATATTCCACAGCGTTTCTTTCACAATGTAATCGCATGACCAGAACTCAACTTCATTTTTAAAGAGTCACCTTATAATAATAATCAATCCTTTACCTGGCATCGGGGTCAGGGTCATTCATGATGCATGAGAGACCTGCTTTACTGAGACTGGGGAGCTCTGACTGGCGTTCCGCTAGGGCAAGCTGGAGACCTGTGATGTCGATATGAGGGGCGTTGGGACCAGGATCCATCGCAACGATCTGACGCGGGGATTTCTTGAAGAGCTAAAAATACAAATTTTACAAAGATTTCTTCAGGAAAATAGCTTTTATTTCCAAACTTCAAAGCGCGATTTCATAAAAGAAGGTAAATGCTCTTGTTGCAACATTGTCGACTGCCAAGTGACTGCCGCAGAAGGTTACTTTATCTTTAAAGCCCCACTGCACTACTAATAGCTACTTGCGACCTCTTTACAGCAAACAATGCATAAGCAGTGCCCGTTGGTCCCCCATGATGCCCTTTTTCTTATGTTAATTGAGAGCTGATTTGATGAGATAACCACCTGCCAGTGACCTTGCAGGGAGGTCTAATCCATTCTGGCCAAATAAGTGCATAGGGGCTTTAATGTTCATGAGTGATATGGTCAAACTGTTTCACGAGTAGTGCAGAGGGGTTTTAAATAGTCAGACACAATTTTTGGAGAAAAGTTAGCAAAAATCAGGGCGATCCATTTTGGGCTTACCATATTTCATATACAAAGGAACTGGGGTCATGGACAAAAATTGAAAATCACCAGTTACATCAGGGTAAAAAAAAAGAATATGTAGTAGATGCCCGGTATAAAATGCATCTTTTCTTTTCAAATATGAAATGTTTACCTCTCTAGGCGGGTTAGTTGTGGTGATGAGCTGGGAGAGGAAATATCTCTCTGATTTGCCGATTGGTCCAACCAGGATAGGTCCACTGATCTTGTCATCCTCCATTCGGGTCTAGAAGTAGAAAATGAACAATTTTTTTGTTATAACACAGAATTCTCTGCTCTTCTGGTACTAAACAGGAAGTCCAAAGAATTATGTCTACTTTGGGAGAAAAGACGTTTATTTCTGCAGTGCAATCTCTTTGAAATGCTCTTCCACTGAGGATCCGATCACTAGAATCCCTAGAAATATTTAAAAAGAATCGAAAGTCATACATATTTGCATGTTATTTTAGTTAATTATATGTTGAATGTACATTTCTCAATGTAACTCATTCTATAATTCTATCCCTCTTTGCCACAGAATAGCTTACTAGATCGATGGCACATAACAAATGCTGTATTTATTACAGTCAAACCTGTCTATAGCGCCTGCCCAAGGAAAACACAAAAAGTGGCCTTTGTGGACAGGTGGTCTTTGTAGACATGTTCCTTTAGTACATGATTCAATGAGAAACCGTTTTCAAGGGAAACAACAAATGTGGCCCTTGTAGACAGGTCGTCACTAAATCAAGTACCACTCTCTATCCAAGAAATGAGTTCAACAGTTTTCACTTAGTATGACATCACAGCTTCCATTTGCACATAGTGACCTGTGTTTATAAGCACATGGTGTCGGGCCTACTTACCTGGATTTCCTCATCTTTCTATGCTCATTACTCAGCCACTATACCTTTGCTAATACAATTGTTTGGCACACGTCATTCAGTTGTAATCTTGAACATTCAATGTAAATTACATTGGATTCTGTGAGAATTCTTTTTCTAAATTTACCAGGGGGGTATTTTACGAGGATCCTAAGTTGAACTTATCTCTAAGTTGGACTTAACAATTATGGAAAGCCATTAGCATCTATGAGAATATTTCGTAAAAGTTATTTTAAAAGGCATAAAATCTTGATTCAAATCGTTCATATTTTCTATTATCAAGGAGATTTCATGTTCTTGATGTCGAATTTATAAAAAGTCTAAAATACTAGAATTTCTGCTTTTGAATATATTTCATTTAAAGGCTACGAATGGCTCTCCATAATCTTTAAGTCCAACTTAAGGTTAAGTTCTACTTGGGATGTTTGTGAAACACCCCCCCCCCCCCTCCCCTGAACTCAAGTTCATACACATGCATACTCACCAAGACAAGAGAGAACAGTGGTGCGAATGGGTTGTTCCCAATGGCCTCTGAGCGGTACATCTCCCATAGTAGGAAGAGAGCTGCAAGACGCTGAGGGGGCGTGGGTAAAAGGTCTGGGCTACTCAGCAGTAGGACCTAGGGATGAAAATATTAACCAAGAATGGAATGGATATTTAATGTTCATGAGTGGTTAAACTATTCTTGATAAATACAACAAGGTAATGTTCATGGAGACAAGAGTGATATATAGCCAAACTAATTCACAAGTTCTGTTCAATGGTTATGGGTGACAGGCCTATAATAAAATGTTTAATGAGAAATTGAGAATAAAGTAAAAGATTTGATAGGAGGAAATAGTTGTTCCCATATCACTATAAATTCAAATGCAAAGCAACAATTGTGGTAAATGGTTGTTGGGATGGAGGTTGATGAGGGGTGGGGGGGGGGGGGGGGTGGGAGGTTGTTAGTCAGGATTATTGTTCTAGCGGATAGTGGTACTAGGGATGGCTGTCCTGAGTCCTAAAGATACAGTTAACAATTTCAAAGATATACATACCAGTGACGATCCGACCTTGAAGTGTTCTTGTTTATTGAAGCTTGCATGGAAGGCCTGGGTGAGGGATTCAAATGATTTATTGGTAGTGGCTTCATCCCACAGCAACCTGTAAATAAGACAAAAAGAATGAAATTGATACCCATCTCTAGTGTGCAGACACATACAGAACACAGAACATTTATCACAAATTAGCACTCAATCTCCTCCCCTCACGGATAGCAGTAACCAACCATGGCAGAATCATGGATCGATGAACAGGCTTAGACCTACAACATTGTTGGATTAAATTAAAGTAAAGTAAGTATGCATATCAAATAGAACAGGGTCCGGAATTAATGCTTTATTATGGACTGCAACTCACAGACCCTGCACCGTAGTTGCTTGTGCATGCCAATTATTTACAGCCTGAAAGGCCCTCGGAGAGGACATACCCGGTAAGGATGGCAGTCCCTTGGTTGCTTAGTTACAATCGTACACATTCATTCTTAGCAGTCAGCTAAACAAAAACAAAAATTAAATGCATAGGATACATGTACAATGAGACTGATGGTGTTGGTAGAAACTTAGAATAGAATAGGCCTAAATGCTTTATGAAGTTTGTGTATCCGGTTAACCCATTGCCTACTCGAACCGGGTGGCACCTGTATTAATCCTATGGGAATGAAGGGAATCCAGTTGTAAACAGGTTAAATGAGAGCCTGAGCAGAAGACTCACTGCAAGTAATTTATTAGCAACTTCATCCTAATATTAAATTTATCCTATTAAAATATTAGTGTGACACAGAAACAATGACCGAGCTAAGTTATCAAAGATAACCCTGTATCAAAGATAACCCTGTCCTGTAGGCTGTAGTTGTACTCCATTGCTACTTGAGGGTTGAAAGGGTGCTCGTTATTATGCAGAGTTTACATTAATTCACTTTTGTGTTATTGTTAAGATTGTACGGACCCACACAAGACAAAACTAGTCTTACATGTTTGATGACTTGAGCTGCACCATTAGATTTGGATCAGTAAAATTAAAACCTTACAAGATGATAGCTAGGTGGATTAGTCTAGATCTAGACTAATTTCATAAGAAATTAAGATGGCGTAAAATTAATTAGCCTTGACCCGTTTAAAGGTCGGTCCCCAGAGGTAAATAATCATATTGTGACGATCCGCTGCGCGGTCGTGACGTAGATATTTGTTTACATTATCACAAACTCATAAACAAATTCTAACTAGTCCTTCGGAGTAGATCGCATCAATCGTTAGATAGTTAAATCAGATAGACGAAGAAATAGGCTGATACTTATTGATTCAGATTGTGATTACTAGTTTTCAACTTGGAAGGTAGGGAAATTCAACTGATATTAGAAAAGATATTTAGAGTACGGCACTATAATACTAGTATCAATTAATTAGGTATTTGTAATATGTATATATTAGCACCGTACGTAGTTGTCCCCCCCCCCCCTTGATTTCGTAAACTTACCTGACAATTTGGATTCCTAAATTGTCCTCTTCTTTAAGACTTGATTATAATCCTAGATTGTGTAATGCAGCTTGACAATACAACGATATTATCAGTTTATGTACTAATGTAAAGAAATGTAAATGAGTCATGATTGTTGTTTTCAAGCGCGTCATTCACCGACGCACAACTTCCGTACGTAACTAATTTGCATACGAGCGCTTGACATTTGGATCCATAATTGAGATGCTTTAAGATGTTAAACTGTAATTGTTTATCAATATATCACATGAATTTGGATGGAAAGTTGTTTAGACAATGTGACTTGTTTATATTTACTGCAAATGATATGTCATTCAGAGTGTTGTATATAATTAATGGTAAAATAAGAGATTTACTTAGATATTTTGCTCTGAACTAGCACAGTCTTCATGTTAAGTCCATTTTCGCTGCGCGCGTACTTTCCAAGATCGCTTAGCACATCGATTTCCCCCACGTCCGCATTATGCCTTTATAACCCGTAACATTTCTAAAACGTGAGGGGTTGGAATTGGACGCTCGTCGGAATCAGAACTATTAGTCTCTCCCTGGAAATCCCCCCCCCTCCCCCCACCTAAGGACTTGTCTTGGAATTGGGCGCTCGTCGTAACCGGTACCACACATAAGATCTCTCTCCCTCCCTGGAATATAAAGGTACACAAGGAAGTCTACGCTGGAATTAAGATGCTGGAATTAATGAACCACTATTATTAAGATGCAGGAATATTCTAAGTCCACCTCTCCCCCTATGATGCTATGGAATTAAACTAAGACGGAAAACTCCCAAGTCCCATAAATCCAGCGCTCAAAATACACGGGGGCGGTGGGCGATTCGCCCCCGTGAGCTCCATAATCGCCCCCGTCAGGTTGCTCACGGGGGCGATTGCAAAATTAAAAATCGCCCCCGTGGAATTATAAAATTAAGATTATCTTTTCTGATATAACTTTAACACAATATTGAGTATTAATTTTCAAACCTTAAACCAATGAAATAGAACTTAGATGGCGCTTTCTCTACCATCTCTACGAGTATTCCCGATACAAACAACGGAAGCTCGCGGTGCGGCCGTCAGCACAGTGGCTATACTGCGCTGGTAGTACCGGTGTGCACGCTGACGCCCAATATCTGCTGGAGCTGGTGATCGACAATCGCGCAAGGACTGAAACATGGAGAAGTTTTTCGTTGTGAAAGTTTGAATCCTCTGAAATCTGGTGATTCTTAAAGACCAGCAAATAATGTAACCCGACCAGTAAATCAATATTGAGAAGAGGAAGAAGGCATAAGATGTTGCAGGGGCGGATCTAGGCGGTTTAGGGGGTTTGACCCCCCCCCCCTTACGCTGCCAAGGAAAAATGTGATGTGCACAGAAAAATGCTATCATGTGTCCAGACCTACACAGTATTAGTAGATGTCAGTAGATGCCAGGAAAACATCACTAACGGGGGTTCAAAAAAGCACCCAAAAATCGCCTCGCCGCTTTGCGGCTCGTGGACGATGATCCGCATGTTAGTAGATGCCAGGAAAACACCACTTACGGGGGTTCAAAATAGCAACAACAAAAATCGCCTCGCCGCTACGCGGCTCGTGGACGATGCTCCACATCGTATTTGGGGTACCCCCCCCCCACCCTTAGCAAAAAGCTTGATCCGCCCCTCTGTTTTGGAAGGATATGGTAAAGACTAAAAGTAAAGAAAGAATGTAAATAAGGTTGCTCCGAATAATGAGGAGGAAATTATGTGCAGAACGGGAAGAAATGGAGAAAATGTCCTCACGGGGATAAAAGTCAATAACAGCTATGTAACAAGTAAATTTCTAAGAGGAAAAATACCGACTTAGATAAATGATAATGATAAAATACCAAGGAGTTTCACGGGTACCAATTCAATGGAAATTTGTATTAAAATAAGAGCCCCCGTCAGCACTAAAAGCGCCCCCGTGAGAAGGCTCACGGGGGCTCTTTTTTTTTTGGAAGAGCCCCCGTGGGCAAAAAATTAATCCCAATGAATCATTTCCCTTCACTTTTTACATGTATTCGAATATAATAACGACAATCGTATAAATTTATTAAGTATAACTATGAGCACAAGGTATTTGTGACAGTGGTGATATAAAGATGTAAATATTTGAAGTACATGCATTAATAAAATTTGACCATTTTCTTTTGTCTTGAAACTGAAATTATGAGTCTATAAACACTTTGTCTTTCTTCTTGACTGGTACTCCTTCATAGTCGTATATTTCGACGAAACGAACGTAAATAAGAATTGTAGCTTCCCCCGTCTTTCCTCAAATAAAATATAAGATCTAATTAGATCTACTCTAACCGCTCGGACATTATAAATAATGTCGGCTGACGAATATCCTGACAGAAATAAAGAATAAGTTTCCCCAGCTGGGAATGAGAATAATCCCGACGTAGAGGTCGAGGTTGGAGACGGAGGCGGGGGCGGCCGCCACAATATCTTTGATTGATAGACACGTCTGTAAAAACCCCATAGGCGTAGATCTACACACACACACTCAGTGATTTATGAAATACCCATAAGCCTTACTTCAAGCATGTAATTACCTATGTGGAAAGCTAAGGGTCACAACTTAGAAAAAAAATAGACATAGATCTATGAACGCAATTACAGTTTCACACATTTCCACACGCATTGACATCGACATTGCCATTGGATTTTTGGAAGAGAAATCGTTGAGTTCTGTCGAGAGTTGAGACTAGATCTAGATATTGATTCACGATCTACTCTTTAGAATTAGAGCATAAGGAATATTATCAAATGAAACACTCTGGGAAAGTTAATCAAAACCCTTACAATTTCTAATCAAATTGCACTCGCAGACAGACGTCGATACAAGCAGGCAAGAAGACCAAAATCTGTGTTAAAACTCTACTCAGTCCCATACGTGCTTCTTCGTGTTGTACTAGTCTAGATCTACAGGCGAAGTGAATATTAACGTTATTTTGAAAATTGTAAGGCGAGTTAGATAAAGATCCATCTCTTAATATAATCATTATCCCCCGTAATGGGAAGATTGATGAACATACCCGGTAAGATTCACGCTATCCTTTTTCGACAAACCTTGGTCCATTCTATAAAATACGTGCGGTTAAACAACATGAAATTAGGAAAATCTACTTTGACGTCAGTGAAATTGAAAACCGCCCTCTACGTCATTGTTGGGATGCTGTTTCGACAGATCTCTCGAATGGTCGACAAAATTAATCTTCTTCTTCTTCATCATCTTGGTCTTGTTCTTCTTGTCCTTCTTGTTCTTCTTGTTCTTTCTTTTTGTTGTTGTTGTTCTTCTTGTTCTTCAGTTCTTCTTCGCTTCTTCTTCGTTTTTGTTTTCATGCACATATACTCTGGTAAATATATCTGGGATCTGTAAAGAGGAATTACATTTCACATTTGATCTATTGTATGTAAAGTAGGCTACATTCAGTGTTTACAAAAAGTACATAATGTATTGATGAACAGTTACTATTCTACTATGCAAAACAAAATTTAAGAGACCAGCTATAGGCGTGAGACTTGGTAGGTCTGGGTCGGTATCGTGGGTGTCCGTCTTGATCTACTGAAGATCTAAAGACCGGCAAGCGCAGGCGGAGGCCTGTAGTCTCGCCAATGGGCGTTATTTGGCGCGGATCCAGGATTTCATAGTGTGGGGGGGGGGGGGGGGGGGGGGGGGGGGGGGGGGGGGGGGGGGGGGGGGGGAGGGGGGGGGAGGGGGGAGGGGGGAGGGGCAAATTTGAAATTATGCGAGCCAAATCTTGGTACGTCATGGTGACCAGCAGTGACGTAATGAGCAAAAAACTTTTGGGAGGCAGACACAAAATTCCGCATTACCCCATTCTCTTACATGCAGGCCCCGCTGAACGTTAATCAAAGTGGGTGGGGGGATCGAGGCTAACGTATAGTTTACGATCAGGTACAGCGGCGTAGCGTAAATTGGCGTGGGGTCTAGGGGCGGAGCCCCCGAAAGCTCACGGGGATTGGGCACTTAATTACGGTCAGATGAGCATATTTTGATTCATTATTCATGACACTAGCTGGCAGGTTATTAATTGGCGTGGGGCTCAGGGGGCGTCAGGGGGCGTCTTCTTCCTCTTTTTTCCCCTTTGAGCTCTCCTCTTTCCCTTTCCCTTCCTTCTCTCTTTATTTTGCGGGGACGGGGAGGGGGGGGGGGGTGAGGAGAGGGCCTTCCCCCACTCCTATCCACAACTCGTTGGCGGGAAAATTGCAACTGATAGCCTATTCCCCTTCTTTTTCTTTTCTTCTTCCTATTTTTTCCTTCCCTTTATCTCCTTTTTCCCTTTTTTCTTTACCTTTTCTTCCTTCTCTCTTATTTTTGTGATGGGGGGGGGGGGAACGGGGAACGGGGAGGCAACAGCCTAGGAGGAAAAACCCTTTTATCCCCCCCCCCCGATCTCCTTCTTCCCCCTTTTCTTTCTTTCCCTTCCTCTCCTCTTCCCCTTTTCCTTCATTTCCTTCCCCCTGAAGCTCAAGGGTTTTAGGCATTAAATTACGGTCAGATGAGTATCAAGGAGCCCGCCTTAGGGTCCTTGGTTGGGTTCAGGGGGCAGAGGCTGAGCCACCGGAAGCTCAGGGGTTTTAGGCGTTTAATTACCGTCAGATGAACATTTTTTGATACCTTATTATTTTGTGACACTGGCAGGACACTTTTTGGCGTGGGGTCTAGGGAGCGGAGCCCCAAGAATTTCAAGGGTTTAAGGCATTTAATTACCGTCAGATGAGCATTTAGGGCTCTAGGTGAAATCCAGGGGGCAGAGCCCCAGGAAGCTCAGGGGTTTTAGGCATTTAATCACGGTCAGATGAGCATATTTTGATTCTTTATTATGTTGTGACACTGGCAATTAACTATTTTTTCTTTCTTGCTCTCTTTTTTCTATTTCTCTTTCATATAATTTTCCCCCCAAAACTGGGAGGAATGGGGGGGGGGGGGGGGGGGGAACGCGAGGCTTCCGATCCCTGCCGTTCCTCGGGCACTGACATGTGGGCATCTCAATAAGCATATTTCTTGCCTGACTGTAGATTTAGGAAATCGTCATTTTCCAATAAACTCATAAAAAAAGTATAATTTACCAAAAAAAGTGAGGAAAAGTCTCGGAAAATGATGTATTTCAGCAAACATTTGTAAATCACCGTTATGGAATTAGAAATAAACCACGTTTAAATTTTATTCCCCCCAAGTCCCCCCCCCCCCCCCCAGCCCCCTCCCTTCCCTTCCTTCTCTCTCTTTTAGGGATGGGGGGGGGGGGGGGGGACGCAAGGGCCGTTCAGTCACGTTGTTGGCACCTTGGCGGGATTAACCGCAACTGATCTCCCCTTCTTTTCACCCTTTTCTTTTCTTCTTTACTTCTACTTCACCACCATACCATGAGCAGATAGAGGGATACCGCCACCGACATAGTGTGATCCGCAACAAACGAGATGTAATTGTGGTCGGTGATTCCATGATTAAACACATTGACGGAAGACATCTCTCCCGCAGCAAGAACGTAAAGTGCGTCTCTTTTCCCGGTGCAAAAGTGAGAGACATCTTCACCTCTTCACCTTGCGAGTTTCTCAAGCCAGGGGGAGAACTGATCATCCACGCTGGCACCAACAACATCTCTGAGGGTGCTGGTGAAGTTTGCCACCAAATCACAGACCTCGGCAAGTCTGTTGCTGCCGAGGGGTTTAACGTCTCAGTCTCTACGATCATCCATCGTAGAGGGGAGAGTGAAGCGGACAAGAAGCGGGCTGATGAGATCAACTATCTGATGGAGTTGGCAGCCAGCGAGAACAGATGGGGCCTCATCATCAACAATGATATCAGCGAGCAGCATCTCGGGCGTGATGGCGTTCACCTCAACAGAGCCGGTCAACGAATCTTGGCAGGCAACCTGAAACACCTCATCAACAGTGCTGACCAATCGACAACACGAGGCTGGACTCAACGGTCGTCCGATCAAGTTACAGGCAGTGAACCTGGAGCAAGGCGGCATCAAGCCATCTACCGAGAAAACCAGAGTCTTCATTCTGATGAGGAAAAAAGCAGCCCCGTAAAGTCCTACGCCGAAGCTGTTTCTGGGAGATCTTTGGATTTCAGTGCAGTCAAACAGAGGTCACGACTGAAACCAGCCTTCAGACCATCCAAGGTGGACATGAAAGACTGGGCGAATTATCTTCAATTTGTAAGAAGGGTATTGAATTAAGTGAAAGTTTGACAAAATCTAGTGATGATCCGAAAATTATAGTTGACGGTCGAAAATATAAGTTCCCTTGTGGGAACTGTGATAAGCCAGTCAAATGTAATCAACACGGCCTTCTGTGTTCTTGTTGTAAAAAATGGTTTCACACTAATTGTCAAGCTATCAGTTTTTCAGAGTACCGCAGGTTATATTATGAATGCCCTGATGAGAAGTGGAATTGTTTAACATGTTGTCTGCCATCTTTTTTGAATCAATATTTACTGACGATTGTTTAGAGAAAGAAAGCCAAAACGAGGATAGACTAAAAGAAAACTATTTTAAGGTAACGCGCGTTACACCTGAAAAGCAAGCGATAGCAAGAATAATTCAGCCAAACCTCAAAAATGAAAACACTTCTCGTTTTCAAGAATTTGAAGAAAAGTTTAAAATTAAAGGTCTTCATTTTTTACACCTTAATGTGAGGTCTATTCTAAACAAGATATCGGAACTTAGAATTCTTTTTAAAAGAAAAAGGCTGTCTATTATTGCTTTCACTGAAAAATGGTTAAACAATTCCATAAATGATGAAGAAATTGAAATAGACGGATATAAAATCATACGCCATGATCGATCCTCTGGCTCTGGAGGTGGTGTATGTTTCTATATCAAAAATGATATTGCATTTAATATTATGGATGCTATAAGTACTGGAGATACGGAATCCCTGTGGATAAATTTGCTTATACCAAGATCAAAACCAATTGTTGTTGGCGTTCTGTATCGACCTCCGAAAAACAATTTGTTTATCGAGAAATTGTCCAATATTCTTGATACATTAAAGAAGGATGACGAAATAATTCTTTTAGGAGACATGAATATTTGTCTTCTTCGCAAATCGCCACTGGCTAAAAAATATATTGACTTGTTGAGTCTTCATGGGTTTAGTCAACTCATTAAAGAGGCAACACGCGTTACACCTACATGTTCTTCTTTATTGGATCATGTTGGTTGTACCAAAGAAAATAAAATAAGTCAAAGTGGTGTCATTGATCTAGGTATTAGCGACCATTATTTTACTTTCTGTACACGGACAAATGTTAGACTGGCTATAGGTCATCACAGGACTAATGATAGCAGATCCATGAAAAAATATACAGAAGAGTCTTTCAATCTTCAACTATCTGTTGTTGATTGGTCACGAATAACTGACTGTACAGATGTAAATGAGGCATGGTCAATATTTCAACATGTTTTTATCTCAAATTTGAATATGATAGCGCCACTGAAACGGATAAGAATAACACAAAGATCAGAAACTTGGGTGACTAAATATATTCTTTCCCTAATTCAAGAGAGAAATATAGTATACAAAAAATGGAGGAAAAGAGCAAAAGATGAGAAGCTCTATAAAAGATACAGAGTATTAAGAAATATGGTCCAAAGAGAGGTGAAAAAGGCTAAACTCGTTTACTTACAAAACAAGATAGAAGAAAATAAACAAGATTCGAAAAAAACTTTGGCAGAATCTTAAAAGCTTAGGATTGAAAAATAAGAAGCGAAAAGAACAAGAATCTGTCATTAAAATTGATGGGGAATTATGTCATGATAAGATGGCCATCGCTGATGAATTCAATTCTCATTTCACAAATGTGGCTGCCAAATTAGTAGACGAACTCCCCCCTTCCAAAGACTTTTTCAGCGCAGACAATGATTGTATTCGTGACTTTTACGAAAGAAAAGGTGTACGTGAAAACAGCTTCGAGTTATTACCAATCAGTGAACAATTTGTTTTCAAAGAGTTACGTAAGTTGAATGTATCAAAAAGTACTGGGTTAGACTTGATTCCAGCTAAATTTCTAAAAGATGGTGCGAAGGTTTTATTTAAGCCTCTAAGTTACTTAATGAACCGATCTATCTTGACGAGTACTTTTCCAGAGAATATGAAAATAGCAAAAGT